TTGCGTATGTATATATATCCCATTCGTTTATACACATATAGTCGTAGTAGCACAATTCCACTCTTGAACTATCGCGTATCAACTAATAATGTTAAAGTTAAAACTATTACATAGTATAACGCGCGTCCGAGGTCTTCCATCGAATCCGAAGAAGTCGTTAACCTTTTTTAAAAGAAATATCCGTAGGGTTCTCCTGTCCAAATGTAGCAGTGTTGCATTTATCAATATTGAGTCAATGTCATGAGAGCTGTATTCAGGTGGTGTGACAATATCCAGACTGGACAAGAGTTTTGCACCCCTTAGCTTGTCTGCGGTCGCCGACACGTATGGAAAGGGGTACATTTCTTCGAGACCCTATAATCTACACAAAACCTATAAGCACCTTCATTTTTCCTAATCATAGCTACTGGAGGCGCCCAAGATCTTTGTGATTTCTCTATTACCCTTCCCCGAGCATATCCCTAACCTCCTCGTCCATAAGTGACTGTATGACGGGTGATACAGGTTAATACCTCTGTTCCATAGGTTCAACTCCTGCGTTTACCTAAATGACCTAATGCCATATACTCTCTATCGCCTTACTCGGAGTGTAAGGGTTCTGTTTCCAGGTTCACACCACCTCATCCGATATATCCGGGATAATACTCACCTTAGGACAAAACCGATGCCAAGGATTACGCCACGGAAGCCACGAGGCATTCCAAGAGAACCGTCTTACTCTCTTGAGTCACTCTCAAAAAATTCGAAACAGAACTCACGCTAATACCGAACGAATTCAATTTCTGCCAACCTAATCTATATCCGACCTGACAACCCAATGGCTTGATCAAGAATTTACCCCGCTGTCATCTGATCTACTTTTTCTTACTTGCCCTGACCTGAAGTGGATGTGATTTCGTCCACCACCGTTTTTTGTTTCCTAGCGTACCGCACCCGAAGCACTCTTTTGTCCTTCTTACACTTCTTACAGAGATATGCCCATATCTTCTGCATTTAACATACCGAGTATTCGACCCCAGTCTAAAAATGTCTACAAAGTCCGCCTCCGCTACCGCTGCGACCTCTACACCAGCTGAGACATAAGCCAAGTCAGGATAAACTCAAGGGATAAATGCATCCACCGACGACCTAACTACTTGTTGTCTACCTAAAGTACTTTCTCAATCGACCCTATGGTCGTCAGTCCCAACTAGATCTGATAGAATTTTAGAAGAAAGATATGGTCATCCGTTCTTTGAGCCTTTCGCCTAATCGTATCTAATCGTGGGTTGTCGTACTTGGGGTGCAATAACTCTAATTTCTACACCCTAACTAATTTGTCCCATCTACCTAATGCCTTTCCATCAGACCTAAACCATAGTAGAGCTTTCCCTTCAAATAAAGTGATCGCGTGCTGACTCATCTATTGCCCAGTAACGCCTGTCCGATTCGCGATAAGGCCCACTCGATCTTTGTCATTAATTTTGCCTCATGATATGGCCTGCCTCCATTCGCAACCGATACTATTAACTTCTCTACCTCCTCCAGTTTCAACTTGACTGCCGTCTTATCCTCATCGAAACTAAAGGAGTAGTCTTGGAAGAGATTTGCCGAACCTCTTTTTCCAATAAACTCGACGACCTTAGCAATTTCGTTTTGGATTCGACCGATTGAAAGGCCGCGTGCCTCCATCTCGTATGCGAACTCATCATGAGACAACCGGTTAATTTTCATAATACAATAAAAAAAAACGCAAAATCTATAACAAAGAAAAAATTTTTATTAAAAAAAAATTTTAATTATAACGAGGTCAACGCATTGCCCTATACTGGCTCAACAAAAGAGCTTAACCGCAAGAAGTATTTAATAAAATGAAAACAAATTGAAACACAAACCACTTTTATTTAACAACACAACAATAAACCAAAAACTTTCGGACTAGTCTCAGAGACTTCACCAACAAATTTTACTACCAGTACACACAATATAAACACTGCTATGCAATTTACCTCAACAAACAAAAAAGTAAAACTTTGCAAAAAGAAACGGCTGTTGTCCTGGGCTTGGCCCCCTAAAATCTCTTCTTTTGTATTTTACTACTAATGAAAACAGAAACAAATATTAAAAAATTGCCAACAACAACCAACTATACGAAAATCACAGAATTTTCCAAAACAAACTCTTTTATAAAATATATTTATCCTTAAATATCGGTAGCCAATTTGTGAGTCGCGGGCTCTGGGGCCTCTGTGGTAACTATGGCGTCCAACTCCGGTACACCACACACGATCACCCGTAGGCTTACCCGGCCGAGTTGATAAACCAAACTATTAACACAACATTTGGTATAGAGAACCAGATGGAATAGGATCAACAGAACCAGATGGAATAGGATCAACAGTAAGCGACGGTAGTATGCCGCATTAGCACAGCGCAGCAAGAAGTTTTAGGAACTACGCCATATTTTGTTAATTTTAGTAGATAAATGGCGCTAGTAGGCTATAGGGACTTCATAAACCGTTCAGGTGATCAGGAGAACTTAAATTGGCAGGAGCGAACAAAGAGGCGGACAGATTGGGACTGTTACCTCCACTTCTATCTATTACAATATGTCTGTGCGTATGTACATACGTACTTAACAAAATCCAACGGGGAGAAAAAAATCACCAAGTGAATTTACTAACGTTAAAAACATGTAACAAAAAAAAAACACCAATAGCTGGAGAAAAGCAAGCAACTAAGTGCACGAAATAAACAAAATATTCTTTCGCGGTACAAGGTACGAGGTACAAAAAGAATGAACAGAAAAATAATATGATACTTAGCGGTTGCTCGGTCGGGTGTGAATCCCGACTTCGGTGCTCCCCCGGCGGTGCCGCCAAAATTCCGGTACCGCCACTGAAATACAACACTGCTGCTATCCAGTAATAAAAAAACAGGCTTCTACTACTATTTGCCCCGTCTGGCAAAACGCGACTTTTTCACACAAAAAAAAATCATAATAATAATAAAAAAAGGTGATCGCACTGTAGATTCCAAGAATCTGATCCGGCACGCACTTACGAGCCAGGCCTTCAGGCTTCTCCTGTGCGTGTGTATTGGTGCCCAATCATTTGGCAACGCCCCCATTACCCAAAGGGATCGGGTTGATAGTGCACGCCTCCATGGTACCACAAGTACACTGGGATAATTTTCCCCTCGCCGTATTAAACCAAAAGGCGACACCCCTTTTTACCGCATAAAACGGAATGCTTTATATATTTGTTAGTGGATTAACTGTTTTAGGGGAACAATTCCTTTTGGAGACTTATACCATTGGGTAGGCACACACCGAATGCAACCGTGCCATCAATTTATGGCTTCAAATAATGCAACTATTTGCCAACAGATGTCACTGCCAACGCTTGGAGTGAAAGGTAGACAAGGCAAAACAAAGGAAGATTAGGCAAAACAAAGGAAATGAACAAACAAACACAAAAGATGTTTTTGTTGCGGCCAGTACGCGACAGAACAAACCTCAGAACTAGGTTAGAGCAGGCGAGAAAAAAGCTTCCGAGGCAGTACAATGCAAGACGTCGAGTGTGTAGTACATGCCTCGAGAGTTAGTGTGGAGGAAAAATTGTATGCTGTCGGATGCATCGAATTTTTATGCAGCGTAGTTAGCTCTAAAGTGTGGATATGCACAGTGACACATTTCTTGGGCAAAGAACTGAGGCCATAAAGGGATTAACAGGATATGGTAGAAGATTTCCGTTCCCCGACCAAAAGAAAGATTCCTCCACTTACAAATATTCCGGAAACGGAATGCTTTGCGCGTGTATTCCTGAAAAAAGGGTGTCGCCTTTTTCTTTAATTTGGCGAGGGGAAAATTATCCCAGTGTTCTTGATGTGCGATGATGGCGTGTGCTAACCAACCCGGTCCTTTGGGTAATGGAGGCGGTGCCAAATGGTTGGAAACTAGCACACACTCGCGATTCTTGCAATCTACTAACACATCCAAATTTGAGTATGTACTACATTTTAAGTAAAGCGAATAAAAAAATAAATAAAACTTTTTTGATTAGGTCAGGGCCTTTCCCGCTTTCCGGAAAAAAGTTTAGTCTTCCAGTTAATCTAAGCAAAAGGCCACTTATGTACCGATCTTAGAGTAAACCGGAAAATATATAAAATTTACTTCGAAAAGGTCAGTTCCTGCCTCTTTCCCCGGAGTGAAGAATAGTTTTCTTGTTAATCTAGCAAAAGGCTACCTATGGCTGTGTGCCAATCGGTATCATTTTTCCATATCGTAAAATAAGGTGGGAAAAATTTTTTATGGTCTGAAAAAATTTTACAATTTTCTGTGCCAAATATAAATTTTAATTTTGGCAAAATCAAAATAAAAGCTCGTGAGTAAGTCGTATATATACTTTTAGCACTGGTAAAACATTACAATTTTCTTTACTAATGCTTAAACCAATAAAACAGAACCCAAGAATTCAATGAATGATATGTTGTAGAACCAGAGTCTTAGGCAACGGGCAAGTCGCCGAGTAATACTTGTATCAAAACAATTATGTCCGGTGATGGAAACGAAGTTCCGGCACATTTAATTTCGGTTTTGTACCTCGTGCTTCGCAATCGGCCTTAAACTCCTTCGATATGAGGTAGGGGATAGTCATCTTTAATAGTTCTTTTGTTAACTTTACAAGCTTCTAAGTAAGTAACTAGAGATACAGGGGATCACCTACTTTTGTTTCTCTCTTCTATGACCCCCTTGCCTAACACACTATAAAGCCCTTTTCACATCATTTAGACACCTTGCCCCCAAACTATCATGATTATTTTCTTGAAGCCACTTCATTGCACTTTATCCGTTGTAGCTGGCTCCAGCAGCCGAATCCAATAAAGCCAATACTTCTTTTCCTCGGATTGTACTCCTCACGATTTTTTCTCATATTCTTGATTTTTCTATAATTCCTATTTCTAGGCTTAACTTCTAAGGTTTCTCCAAAAATCATTATCTTTTCTTCTTAATTTTCCAGATTCCTTTGATGAAGACTTTTCCCTATAACTATTGATCTATTTTCTATCTTATCCTCACTACTAGCACTTACACCATCAGCATCACACTTACTAGCTGCCCTCCTCATATTTTCCGCTGCTGTGAAGTTCCCCGTCCATTTATGCCATATTCCCATTTTTCCGTAAGTACAGAGAACGAAATGTCACTCCAGCAAGTGAAGATATGAGTTACTGGATTCCTTGAGTTATAGTATACGGCAGGCCGCACTTGACACATATCACCAATTGAATTGGTGACGGACAGAAGGAGTTGCCAGACGCGGAGGATGTCCTCTGTGCAGACACCTTTAGTGGTCCAGAAGTGTCCAGACTTTGGTGATTCCTGTCATTACTGTCAATAGCAATAGCCTCTACCAGGCTATTTGAATGCAATCCGTTTTCGAACCCCAAGTCCAATTCGCTCACTGACCTAAAACGGGCGCGATTTTTTTTGTCCACACTTTTCGTCCTCATACATTTTTATTTCCTCCCCATAATCTTCTGTATTATCTCGTAATCTGACTCCACTGTTTTAAGGTGCCTTAGCAATTCCGCTTCAAGCAGCAAATAGTCAAAGTTCTTGTCATCTTCATGGCCTTCTATTATTTGCCATTACCATTACAGCACATTGCCAGTCATCAAAGAGTAGAAATCGGAGGATGAAGAGTTGACATTGCGAAATATAATATTGAGCTCGCTTTGCCCCTACTCGAAATATAATATGGAACTTTACAAAGGTGTTCTTCTTCGACTTCGGGCATTAGAGCCCTGTTCAACTTTTTCGCAAAACTAATACTGCACTCCAAGTTGTTTGGAACGGGACTACAGTAGCCACAGCTCAAAAAATGTGGGTGCGAAGTCCACAGCACGCTTTATCCCGGTGTCGATTTGATTAAAAAATGACCTAGCAACTTGATTCTCCAGGGCCTTCGTTACACTCCTAATAACTATCCTATTGTCAAGTATACCAAAGCCAACACGGTCTCTTCTTTCACTCACTGCCTTTTTATTCATACGGTTAAATGACATGGAACGCTACAGGTCGAATCTTAAATCAGCAGAAATATAAATGCAGCGGACAAACGCAAAAACAAATGCGAGGGGTGTGCCAAACAAATTCCATCAAAGCACGTTAATGTTAAAATAAAACTAGTAAGAATAAGAATGATAATATCAAAATTCATGTATTGATTAAAAAATAGGTATATACATACGTGTATGGGCATGGTGCTCTTTGTTTGTATGGTACCTCGAGCGCTTTCCCTAATATAGACATTGTCTCTTATTTAGGTATATTAGGTGTGATCAAAAAATATGCGCAATTTCCAAATTTCATGAGTTACGTATTTTCAATTTTCGCTTCTTTTGGTTAGGTTGGTACAAATGACCATATGTTGGAAATATAAGCATTTGTTGTTTTGGGACTTTATTAAGAGCTTTGGATCTTCAAACTAAATGGAACAAGATAGCGCTCCGTGGAGTTCTTAAAATTCCTGGTGCTGGTAAATATCTCAGCATCCAGTAATGCAATCGTAGTATGTTCCAGTCACCCTGGTGCTAGTAAACATTTTAACATGCAGTAATGCAATCCTAGTATATACCAGTCACGCCATTTTGGATTGTCTGTTTATTTTTGAGAGATAAAAAGGTTAACCGTATATTGCTCTTCGATTTTTTACTATTCGAAAAAATGGATCAAGGAAAATGTGTTTAGTTTTGTGTGAAAGAAAATTAAATGCGCAAGACATTTAAAATGTTGACTGCGGCGTTTGGCGAGTCTAAGATTTTCAGAATGCACAACTCATGATATTTTGACACTACTAAACACACCCGTATATTTTATTTTAATGTAATTTGGAAGATCGTTTTCTTTTTTTATCTGTGGCAATAATCGAGCTCTACCTAGAGAGGTCTAAAATAGCTTTTGGATCTTATTGCAATGCTCACATGATCTTTAATTTTCCCCTAATATGATAGACAACCAGTTTTCTTGGCACCCATTTTAGTTTACGGCCACTGTAACCGAGCATTACATACCGTTATTCGGAGGACCAGATGGAAGACCACAATTGGAGGAGGAGCTCCACCGTAAATAGCTTCAGCGGTTACAGTTATATATATAATTTTAATCGGATATTATTATAATCTTTGGAAAACTTGTATTTAAATATAATTGTAAAACAAACTCATACTTACCAATAAGTTCAATGCTTTCGCAGTTGTTTGTAGGAACTCTCATTTATTACAAATGCTTGAGTTGCTAATGGTACTGCGGTCTCTTATACAACATATAAATTTAGGAAGCACTCTATTTAGGAAGGATTCCATCTTATGTTTATCAGTATTTGAGGCTTATGCGTCTTGATGTTTTTCCAACAAATGATGTTACCTACAGTTTACACTAAGCCGGCACCAAACGGCTGATAGTTTATTATAAGAAGTCATTATTTTATGTCCGAAATACACTCACTATTTAATTCCAGACTTGTATTTCTGACCCAAAGCTCTGTACTCCTGCCAGTACGACATCTACGTGCCTGTAATCAAGGATAATAGGCGGTGCGATTGGTGAATGGTACTCAGCATCATTTGCCAGTTGCAAAAGTGTCCTTATAACCAAGTAAGCTACACGGTTTACTCCGAATGTTACAGTTTAGAGTTCAAATAGGCTTACTATATTGGAAAGTAACTCTCTAAATAGATTCGTTGATTTCCGATTGATTTACATTTATCAGTATTTATCTATACATGTTTTCAATGTCTTAGATTTTTGATACTAGCATTATTGCACACACTTTTGAAGCAGAAGGTGTATTATTGATTTCTGAGACATGTGCATTTATCTTTTTGGAAATGAAAACCAATCCTCTTATTGCCTCTTCGGAGGTGAAGGAACATTCTGAACGTGAGTCGATAAGCGCTCTGGCTGAAAATATAGTTCCACGAGGTTAAATATTCATCCTAGCAGTAGCTGACAAAACCCCCTTATTTGGAAATTGGCTGGAATTGACCTGGTGAATTTTGAGCTGTCGAAGAAGTAGTTGGGTTAGAGAGGAGTGTGCAGACGTAGAAGAGACACTAGAAGAGGCTGAGGCTGAACGACCACTTCGTGGGTTTTAATGTTTTAGTTTTTTTATTTGGGGTCTTACATTTTGTGCCTGAAAAGCAATTGTATGATCCGTTATATTATATACGGCCTCTAACGTTTAGAACCTGTTTGTTAAAGATTTATCAATACTTGACCATGTTGGTATGTCGGTCTTGTTCTGAACTGTTTGCAGAGACTTCTACAACCCAGTTTGCTATATCGTACCAGTTTTCGTATCAGTTAGAGAGGTTCTACCTTGCCATAGAAGAAACTTGCATATGTGAGAGGAAATTTATTCGCAATATCAATTGTTTCACCCTGAGTTTTTTGATTAAGGTGGATTTCCACCACATTAATTAATATATTTCAAATATCTTTTAACCTAAACGTGCTCCTAAAAATTGCCCATGAAATTTAATCGACTTTAAAAAATTCATGCATTATAGCCATACATCGCACATAAATTTTATAACTATCAGGTGTACAACTTTGTTTCCGCCGTTTTTCCAAAATTAAAAGCTTTATTGCGAAAAAGTGCTTACAGATATATTATTCAAAGTATTGTCCTTCGCTAGCGACAACTTTCTCCCATCTTTCCTGCAATTTTCGGATCCCGGCTCGAAAAAAGGAGTTCTCTTTTGACGCTATCCATGAATATGATCTGACAGGCCGTGTGCCATCGAACGGAATAGATGGAAGTCAGAAGGGACGACATCTGGGGAATGCGGCGGGTGGTCTAGCAATTTTAGTAAAGTCGATACAGGTGACGAATCTTGGTTTTTCAAATACCTTACAGAAACCAAGCAGCAGTCCATGGTATGAAGCCCAACAGGAGCAAAACTACCCGTAAGCCCGTAAGATCTAAGCAACCAAAATCTGCAGCAAAAGTAATGATGCTAGCTCACTTCACCGGACTTAAAATCGTAGCTGCTACTCCACTAGAAAAGGACAAACGGTAACTGCGAAATAGTACACCGAAGAGTACTTACCAAAAGTTTTCAAAAACTAGTTGGAATAAATTTTTTACATAATGACAACGCCCAATTATTCACTTCTGGAAAAACGAGTAATTTTATTGCGGCCTCTGCGATCGAAGAAATACGTCCATCATCATATACCCGAAAATATTCATATTTCCAAAAATTAAAAGAAATTTAAAGAAAAGGTTTTTAAGACTAATGCGGTTAATGTTTATTTTGAAAATCCTAAAAAGCAAGATTTTGAAGACTGTTTAAAAAGAAAAAGATATATAAGCTTAAGAAATGCGTTGAAATCAAATGTAATAACAAGAGGTCTTTTTCTGGTCAATTTATGGAACGTTTGTTAATTCCCCTGTCTGGCTCCATAAAAATATCTTCATCTAACTCCCCAAGCAAAAACGCTGGCTGCTTTTGTAAACGCAATATGCAAAGCATATTTCAAACCCATGCTCATACCATGCAAAACTTTTATGCATATGTTATGCTTTGCAGAAATATGCAATATATGAATGCTCCTGTGCATTGTCTTAAAAGCTGTTAAAGAATTAAAGGTTATCGTATTTAAACAATGTTTAATTCATATGTATGCGACCCATTCTTTTCGACTTGTTTGATTTCACTGCAATGTATGTAAAGCAAAACTCTTGAACATTTTGACAACTAATACGCATGAAATTAGGCTGCCACTCATTTCCGAATTTAATACTTTGTCGGAATTAATGCGGCCGTGATAGTCGAGTGGTTGGCATTGCGTACTGCCATTTGGAAGGCCAAGGTTTCAGTCTTGGTTCGACAAACATCCATTCCAACATTTAAATAAAAAATTAAGTTAAATTGCGGTCGCCCCTCGGCAGAAATTTCAACTCCTCCGAGTGCATTTATGACATTAAATAAAGGCCCCCACCCGTTCGGAGGCTGCTTAGTAGGCGCTTACGAATATTAAGCATCGCATGTATGCTTTGTATTTTGTCTTTACGAAAGTAGCCATTGTCTTTGCGTCGAATTAAAGAGTATCCATTTTCAATGCAGCTGCTGTTGCCAATATTGCAGGCACAGAGCCGTGTCTAACAAAGGGGGTATATATTTCATTATAATGAATAAATTTGGTTTGCGAACATCCGCTTACCACGCTAACACGTAAGCGCATTATTTCTGCCTCTGCACTATGTAATGCTTCCTTTGAATTAAGCGATGTTATGCTTTCGACACACAGTCCAGCATCAATAGGTATATTGCCATCCTCATGTTGTAACTTAGCGGCCCCCCTAGTATTTTAGAGGCCTGGAACCATAGGCATTCTTGGACTCTTGCGCTTTTCACTTTCCGTAACACTAGTAGCCTTACTATTCTCCACATCTTCCAACTATCTTTGTCTCATTAAAAATTACATCTCTTCTTATAAGCGATTTCCTGTTCCCCATATCATACATGCGATAATCTTTGCTATAAAAAAAAAAAACATTCATGCCTCACACTGCTTCAGCAAAAGAATTTGCTACATTGCAGAACTCAAGACCTCAGTCTGTTCTCAGCTGGTTAACCTTGTGACCATCTGAAGGTTTTCCGAAAACTTTTATAATGATTTTTGCTTTTTTTTGCATATACACACCTCAAGCTGAAAGGTATTTCCACTGAAAATTATCCACGCTTTCAATCGCCAATCGGTCTACTGTTACTGTCTTACACGCAATTTCTTTTAATGTATTTAATCTAATGACATGACTAATTCGCTTGTGCCAAAGCATAACTGATTCAATTTGCGGTGTGTTTAAAGCAGCGTCTATTATAGGAACTATATTTAATTTATATAAACGATTTTCACGCACGCCGTCATTTATATTTCGTTTAAATTTGATAATGCTTACGCGAGTTAAAGAAACATAAGAGCAACTGATATAAGGCAGACAGCAAATCCTCTTATTTCTTTCCTTCTTTTAGTTTCATTACTGACGTATTATTAAGGTGCAGCTGTTCTAAACTTTGTAGAGTAAGTGTCTCCTCACAGGAGAAGAATGTTCCATTCAGATTAAGATGTTCTCCATTAAT